GCGAGAACAGGCAACAACGTCAGTTTGGACGTATGTGCGGTGCGGTTGTGGTTGGTTAACAGACAGTGTGTATGTGACGATCACAACGGACATGACACGGGAGTAGAGACAGGTTTATCACTGTCGGATTGGCACAACCGTATGCGTCGCTATGACTGCAATAGAAACAAGGGGGAAAAAAGACGCGCGCGACGATCAGCAGCACTGGGATTGTGTAATCCACTCGACGGAGAAGAAAAAAGCAATATCACCAACCCATATGATTTGGTAGAAACGCACCTCAATGTTAGTCATTTTTATCGGTTAGTTGCGAGGATCAAAGCATCCACGAAAAGATCCAATGGGCTACACGAATCTGAGCACCCACAGAGCCCGTGAAAACGGAGCCGTAGGCTAATAAGCATTCGTATGAAAGATCCGGGAACAACACAGTAATGGACTGCCATCGGCAGAGGCAATAGAATGATCATGCTGATGTGGTCATCAGTCGACGATTGACCGGTACTAGGATTTGGATGGAAGGTAGTTAATAACAGGCTTCGGGTAGCTAACTGATGATATGCGGACACACAGACACCATCGACGGGGTGCGTTCTGAATTGCTTACTCTCAGTGTTCACGATACCAAAAAGTCTGAAGACAATCCTGGCAGGCAGGATCTGTCTGGGTAGGGGTGTTTCCTATGTTCGAGAGCTTAGCTTCTTTGATTAAGCGTTCACTAATCACTGAAAAGCGGACGGATTCGATCCAGCTGCTTCCTAAACCGGCCCCGTGTGGGATATAGTCAGCCCAATCAATCATTTCGCATTGCTCGAGACACCATTTTCGGATCCCACCTCATTAGTTAGGAATAGAAAGAAGGAAGAAAAAAACTCGCACGGCGTAATTGCAATCCGGGAATTGTTCGTTTCACTTCAAAGTGATGTAAACACCGAATGGCCCCGCAGGGATATCGCTCCCCCCACTCGCTCTATATAGCTGTTACAAGTTAAAATGAGAATAAACCGATTGTAGCGATGCAGCAAAAAAGCATTATCTCGATGAATGAAAAAAGCAGTTAAAAATCTGCGCATAACACCGATGAGTAGCGAGTGCGAGATAAATTTGGTGAACTAACTCGTGATTGCAAAACACATCCCGAGTTGGTGGGAATCACGGACCAGCACACTCCTGTCGGCCTCGTCTAAACTGTCCTACCTTCGTGTGCTCATCTTTATTCTATTTCCTACCCATTCCCCGAGAACTGCATTGAATGGTCGACTGGACTTTTCGACAAATGACTGTGAAAAAGACTGTTACGGACAATGTCGGGATGTTGTAGACGAGATCGCAGTTAAGCGATCACATGCATCGGGTCGAAATGAGAATGCCAATAACATTTGAGAAAACGAACAATCATACAAATGTGCACACACATACATAGAGAGAGAGACATACATGATCTGAGTGATCTCACACCTCAAGACTCTCCGGTCACGTGATCGACCGGTAAGTCGCGAGCGGGGGGTTCACAGTGAACAAGACCGGATGACCTGAATCCCTCCTCAGTTGGAGAAACTGTCTCCGCTGGTTGACTTGAAGCTTGTAACTCAGCCAGATGATTGAGTTGTACCTGACTCAGACTGGGATCACTAAGACAACGAGTCAACCGGGATACCGAACTCGGATCGGATAGGAGATCTGAGAGACAGCGGTTCCGGTCTTCATCCACCTGTTCCTCTTGCTCATTGGCAAGTCGTAGCTGTTCCCGACGCTCGGTCAATGTGGACGCATATTCAAGCAACATGGATTTAGTGGCAAGCAAAGACGCCAGGCGTTTTAGTAACAAATAGCGGCGTTCTGATACACCATGGTGATGAGTTTGGCTGTGTTGAGATGATGTGCCACCTGGTGATAGACCAACATGGCTCACATGATAATTCAAGGTCCGTGCACGGGCCCGCATACGTCTATCTTGACTAGATTGTGAGTGAGGAGCGGATAGTTGAGCATGCACGAGTGGTGATGACGGTGGTGTTGCATGGGAACCGGGGGCACCGTGCCGACGTGGACCGATTGAATATAGTTCACGTTCTGCCTGCACTCCGGCTTGTTCCAGTTGCCACATTGTGTTCTCTAACGACTCCAGTTCCCGATTGAGTTCCATAGTTCGTCTGTTCCGATCTGCACATCGCAAACGGAATGTAGACGGGGAATTCGGAATCGGTGGACGGGATTCCTGACCAACCGATGAGCTCAAACGAACATTCACGTCAGGTACGGACCTTGGTGTGATTCGAGCAAATGCACCAGGCAAAGGACGGATGCTAAGAACTGAGTCCAAATCTGCGCTACTGGTTTCTTCACTCGTATCCGATTCCGTCATATTCGATTTGGCACTATGGGCTCGAGATCGAACTCGGCCAGGGAAACGTGCCGGGGCAAGACGAGTTTCACTGTGTACGCGACGACCCTGGGAATCGGTAGAAGGAACAGAGGATAAAGCGTGTTTTGGTTTTACAGATATCCGATGACATGGGATGCTGGGTGCAGGGACTACTGTTTGTCGGGACGGAGTTGTCACATTGTCGTAGTCTCCTGTAACATTTGAAGCTGAAATTCGAGGCGGTGGCGGTGGCGGATGAGGAGGCACAACAGACACAATGATTGGGGGCAATTCGATCGGTACTGACTGATCTCTAACAACCATGGGTCGGTGATCGGAATCTGTTCGATGCTCAGTGGATGAACGTTCGGTGAGTGTAGACATAGAGTCTATATCGGGGAATTCGTCGAGCGCGGCAAACGGAGCCACGGGTACAACATTCTGCCCGGGACGTCCAGGTTTGCGTTCTTGCCAGTCAGGCACATACTCGTCTGTGTGGTTCTGCGGATCATCATCATCAATCGGAACTTTAGATACGGATCGAACAGGCGGATCACTTCTGGCCCCATCTGGTTGATAACCGTTTGTAGTCCGCGGATATGCATCATCAAAGATCTCAATAATATCCGGCCGAGCAGTGACTGCTGTGTTTGTGTGCGACTCGACCGCGTCCACGGAAGCTTGTCGCACGTCCGGATCACTGATCGATTCCAACTGTTCTGAACAGTCGGACAGTTCGGCCGAGACACAACGATCCCGATTACGTGAACTGACAAACTGCTTCGGATCGATCGTGAACGGTTTGGGTGGTTCGAGGCAAAATTTCTGTTTCGCAGCCAGTCGGGATTGGGCTATTGAGGATTGGTGTGCGGGTGAAGAGAATACGGAACTAGTTCCCGACCCCGTATGCACAGACGGTAGGGAATCGAGGACCGCCGGGGACCAATCTGGTTGTTGTTGTTGTGTGGAGTTCAACGGCCTCGGGTGTGATTCGTTCGACGGGACCACACTGAATTTGGAGGGCAGTGAATTCAACGAGTTCGGAGAGACGGAGCGTTGAGGATCAGTTCGTGGAGAGGGAATACGTGCACGAACTCGAGGTTCCTTCCGCCTCGCGGGGGCTGAAAGGAAGTGTCGAGGACGGGAGATTGGTGCCAGGATTATCGGTTGTTTTTGCATGTCGTCGGTCACGGTCGAACTGGTGACTGAGGGCTCCTCGGAATCCGTGGTCGCCGACACGTGATCAGATTCACTCGAACTGTGACACGGAGATGAGAAACGAAATAAAAAATCAGAACGGTGCAGGTAATTGGCAAAGAAAATTTGTTTAAAAAGCATGGTTTAGTGGACTGCGAAAATTCTCAAAGAACAAACTGAATGTAATGAAATAAGCTATTATTTTGTAATCATACAATTGAACATGATCAACAATACTCCATGAAACGACGCATTGTAGCCGTAATGGTTCGAACCGTGGCTTCGAACGCGCATGTGAGCGTGTCAAACTGGTCACAATGTCAAATGGTTAGTGTAAAGTGATGAATACGGTCAGAGGGAAGCTAAGGCGCTCGGCACAAACTTTCTTGCAAGAGAGTAGGAGAGAGATTGTGGATGCGGATGTTCATGGTTCATACTGAGGCGCGCGCGCACACACACACACAAACAGAGTCGGGTTCAGGTGTGAGGTGCTTGGTATGCACATCATTTGAGAGGATAAACTAAGCCACAAAAAATGAAGCGATCCAAATGCGAAATGATCAGTGCTATCAGTGAGTGTGTATGGGGACTCGTTGTAGCCCATCGGGTAGAGCGTGCGATGTACAAAATTATTGACAGCGTCCATGTGTGGATTAGAATCCCTACCCCTACTCCACCGCGAAGTGGCTGAACTATTCACAATTCAAACATGAGGCTTTATTGCGATGGAAATGTTTGTGACAACCGACAAAGAGTACTGGACAGCTATTTCATCCTGTTTGGGACAAGTCAGTAGTACGTACTTTTGGTGTCCTTGTCAGGCATCGAACCGGGAACTTTCGGGGTGGTACTTCAAACCCAAGACCATCCAGAGTACCTGGTGCCTCTTAATAATCGAATGGGCTGATTCAAACGTGCTACTCTAAAATAAGGCTTTAGTTTACCAAAAAAAATGCAATTCGGACCATCATAGAGCATTACGAAGTGTGTACGGAGTAGAGATAGACGGGACGACAAAATGCTACACAAATGTGTTGTTTCGCATCGGGTCATAGTTCGCATGCTACATGTCTGATACCACGTGTCCAGCAGTTTTGAAAAAGACCACATCAAATGTCCCGATACTGCATAGTTTGTTCGGCGATCATCGTCGGATAGGAATGTCAATTAAATACTGCGCGATTCGGTTACCAAACCGATCAGATTAATAGTTAATCTGGCCCGATTTTGTTCTCTTGCACACTAGTCGCTTAGATACTGAGCGTCCAGATATGGCATAGATAACCCTACCCCCATTATATTTCACTAGTTCTATCTTCATAGATGATGATACTGTGTCACTCCCCTATAATACAGTCGACGGATTTCAGTTTGTAGAATATGTAATTAGGATCAGTACAGGGATTATTCTACGAATACTATCGGCAATGTCTATTTCACGAAATTGTTCACCCAAGATGTGAAAAAAAAAACAATCAATCAATCAATCATTACGACGATATGTATTTTTTTAGAAACCACACAGGCCCAAAGCGATCAGGTCAGAATGGATCAGACGCGTTCGGCGAACCTGTTCCGGCGAGTGGTTATGTTGGTCTGCTTGGTTGTGTCATCGCCACTGTTGTGTTTCAGGTCTGGGATTAAAACAATGCCACTGTTTTATTTGTCCACAACATCAACATTATTAGTTGGATCTTTATGTGGTTTATTAATCCGAGTGTGAGGATTTCGATTTCCGATTCTCCCNCCCCCAGTGGGTAATCAGGATCGTGTTGTGATCGACCTCACACTCCGCCGGTATGGTGTGTAATTCAATTCCCGGATTCGAAAAAGACAGTGAAAACGGGCAACCTATAGCCTGAGACTTGGAGTGCCAAACCACATGGGGCCCGCTACGATTGTAGTTGTGTTGAGCCGGACGACGGTAAAGCGGCCTAACACCAGTTGGGTGGACCACGCCAGTACCAACGAGTAAATCAACGTACCATCAGTAGCAATACATAACAGTAGAGATGTGGCAACTCAGATGTTTTAAAGCAATGCATGAATGACCGCAACTGTGAACACGTATTTATTTGTTGACTGGCGCAGTGGTTTAGTCCCCGTCACCGGCGTGGTCTGAGGCTCGAGCCCTGCGACCGCCACCCAACTTTGGTGGTAGACAGCTTACCTGTCGCCCGGTTCTACACCACACCTGACGTAGCGAGGCCTTATGTGGTTCACCACTCCATGTCACAGAGCTTAGGCTGTCGGTTACGATTACCGAAAAGCGGGTCTTTGTTACTATGGCGTTCTAATCCGTCTGCTATCCATCACACACACACACACACACCGATGTGTAATAAAAAAGTGCAGCTTTTGCGTGACTCCTAAAGACAAGAACTCGAAGTTCATTGCATTATTCACCTGACAACCGCACTCCCATTCTGTACATTATCTGTCTAGGGTGTACACTTTGTCAGCAGGTGATTGATCACGAAAATTTCGAATCACATTAGGGATAGCCTATCGCACTGTTCCAGTCGAATTTCATCGTAGACGAAATAACGGAGACTGCACTAAGTGGTCTCCAAATTGTTGACATTGAATGGGCAGGTAGAATACGTCGATGGCATTGTCTGTCTGTTTGAATGTATGCAGAATGCGCAAAGCGCACTTGATAGACTGCCAAGTGCTACTACGTCATTCGGTGTGCCCTGTGTGCTTTCAAAGTGCAACATGATGCTACTAGACTAGGTGTCGTCTAGTACCGCTTTGAAACTAAAGGGCCCGGGAATTACTTATGGTGGATTGCTTTTCCTACTTAGGGAATTACGTGATCAATGACGGCAGTGCAGCAAAGGAGATAACCGCCCGCATTTTCAAGGCTCGAGCAGCATACACAGGACTGGGATACCTGGGGCGTAGACGTGACGTTTCACTGAAGCTGAAAGGCCGTGTATATTGTGCTACCATTCGCTCAGTTCTGCTTTACGGTTGTGAGACCTTGAATTTGCAAGTAGAAGATATGCATTTATATATATATATATATATATATATATATATATATATATA